CAACTCGGAATGTTGCAAACACAGATCTGGACTGCGGACTTTTCTTGTACGACTGCTTTTTGACTGTGTTGCTGGGTGGACTGTCGATGGTCTTTTAGTTTTTGGGTGCGGTGGGTTTATGGGTACGGCAGAAACTTTCGTGGCCCCACCGATGACACGTCTGGCACTGGTGCTTCTTGAGTGGACAGAAACATGCATAATGCCACTCGCCACAAGACCAGCACGGTGTTGGCGGATTTTTCTCATGCGTAACAGTGGTTTGTTTCAATGCCATGATACCACTGAGATTAGTAGGTCGTGACGTCTGCTGTCCCATTGCGGTATCGTGCTTAAGATTACGCAAACGTTGGCATTCGGTAGTGTGTACTTTCACGGTAATATCCTTCTCGTGCTCGAGCTTGGAAAGCAGTCGAGTGCGAATATCTGATTCCTGAGTTGTATCGGACATTAAAAAGTGAATGTTTCTCACCGAAAATTTCACGGAGTTTTTCCACTGTTTGTTTAGATCCTTTGGATGTTTGAGAAGAATAAAGTTAGTGAACCGATCGTGCTCAAGGATTCCAGGTTTCCGGACCAAGAGACGGGATTTTCACGCATCATCTTCGTCGGTAAACTCATTCTGAAAAGTATCTTCCCAGCGACTGTACCATGAATCGAATGTGAGACCAGATGCTGGTTCGTAGAGGAATTCAGTAACAGTTGCTGCGATTGACTCGGCAAAGGATAATGAAGTACCAATTTGAGATGGAACCGATATCCGAAGACTGATAGCTTGAGTAAGAGACTGAATAAGTCGCAGTTGCGATTGTTCGGACTGCGCTTGTTGCTGTTGAAGGATTGCTTTCAAATCCTCAGATGAAATTGACATGTGTTCGCGTTGGGTTCCCGTCGCCAGTGTTATGTCCTCTTTGATGTTATATCAGTCAGACACGTTAGATCACCGGAAATTGAACACAAACAAATTCAAGGAAGTTATACTGCAAACAAGTGAATCGCTCCGTGGTACGGGATTCAACCGAACCAGAATACAAAAAGAGCTAACAGTTCGATAGGATGTCAGTGAGAGGCTGAAATGTAGAAACAAGGTTTTAGTATACAAGATAAATCGTTACTTAAATGGATTTGTTCGTTTGGAGGTGGTCCTCCTAACACCCACAAAACAGTCATACTGCGGGACATAAAGTCTTCGAAGGTCACTGTAAGAATTCAAGTAAAATAATTACACTGGATGTTGTGGAATCCTACACATACATTGGAAGTTGCATTAGTTCTGACGGGAGTGTGGTAGACGAATTTAACCCATGAAAATCAAAGACCAGAACTGCTTTTGCCAATTTGAACCATTAATGATATTAGAGGGATATATCGCTGGGTCTCAAAGATTGCGTATATTAGACTATGGTGCGGGCTGTATTGTTGTATGGTTGTGAGACTTGGCCCTTTTCCGGCCGAGATTCTGAGACCTTTTCAGATATCTGAGCAGTGATGCCTTGGAATTATATCTGGAATCGGTTAGAACAAGCAAATTCGGAATAAAGTTGTCAGACAACGGATTTTGATGAAGCAGACGGTAACTCGCGCAAAGAATGCGTCCGGCACTAAGGTGAGATTGCTGGGTCATGTGTTGCGCGAACCGAGTTACTGCCTGCCTAGACTTGGTGACGCTCTTTGCACCTGATTCGGATGGTTGGAGACCTAGTGGTGGATAGAATTTGACATGGGAGAAGGAAATGGAGCATAGTAAGAAAAGTTTGGGTTCTGTCGAACGAAATTTGATAGGGAGGGGACCTGGTGTTAGCCTACCTCAAGCATTTCGATATGCAGATGCTCAGTCAGTTAAGAAACTAACATAGAGAAGGCCTGTGCATCATCATTACCATTATCGACAGCATGACATCAGTGTTCAAATTTGATAGGGGACCTGGTGTTAGCCTACCTCAAGCATTTCGATATGCAGATGCTCAGTCAGTTAAGAAACTAACATAGAGAAGGCCTGCCTGTCATCATTACCATTATCGACAGCATGACATCAGTGTTCAACACTGATGCTTCACGGCCGTACGACCATGACTTATTTGAAAGCCTTATTGTAAAGAAAAGAGTAAAGGTGGACGGGGAAGGGACTTAGTGCTAGCTTAACACAATCATTCCGAGGTGCCTACANTACACACGTCCTTTCAGATTCAGGGATAAACCATTCTGACGCCATAGGCGTCTCAATTTCGCAAACGCGGCCCGAGCGTTGCAGATTCGTGCATTCACCTCATCTGTCACACTACGATCAGAACTAATACAACTTCCAAGGTATGTAAAACGCTCCACAACTTCCAGTACCTCTCCCTGGATCGTAAGGTCGTGTTCAGTGACTGCACGTCCACAAGCATGACCTTACACTTTGTGGGTGCAAAGTGCATATCAAAGGACGGGATGACTTTGGTCAGTTCATCCAAGAATACTTGCGCCTTCTCCGTCTCTTCGAACATGAGAACGATGTCGTCTGCATATTCCAGATCGACAAGGTTTTCTTCATTGGCTATTTGAACACCAGGGTTTTGGAGACCCTCCAGCTTTCGTCTCATTATTTCATCGATCACAAAGTTGAAAAGTAATGGAGAGAGTGGGCATCCCTGACGGACACCGCTTTGTGTGCGGAAGCTTTTGGAGAGCTCTCCGTACACTCTCACACGTCCGGAAGTCTGAGAATACAAAGAACGTATTGTGTTTTCAAACTTCTGGGGCATTCGTTGGTGGGCAAGCGTCTCAAGAAGAACAGACCAATCAACCGAGTCGAATGCGCCTCGGAAATCCAGGAATACTAGAATCGTGGGTCGCTTATACGTATGGCGTTGTTCTAGCACCTGACGCAGTGTGAAGATTTGGTCAACACAACCCCTACCAGACCGGAATCCTGCTTGCTGCTCTCGAGTCAGTATTTCACGAGCCACCGTAAGGCGACGAATCACAATTGACGCCAACAGTCTCGTTACAACCGGGGTCAAGCTGATCTCCCTGCGGTTAGCACACTCACTACGCGCCCCTTTTTTGAAAATGGGCACTATCACCGATTCTCCCCAGTTGTCTGGGACAGACTCCTTTTCCCAAATGCAAGCAAACAGGTCGGACAGGCGCTGACTGAGGACTTCACCCCCGTCTTTGAACAGTGCAGGTGGAAGGTCATCCGGACCGGGAGCTCGGTGGCGCTTGAGAGAACATATGCAGTCGTAAACCTCCGAGGCCGTAGGTGGTTCCACGTTCACCGTCCAGGGTTCTACTTCACCTGTGGGCTCTAGTTGAGTGCCGGTTCGTGGCCACAACAGTTGTTGTTCGAGGTATTCAGCCCACCGATCGAGGCGTTCCTCCTTATTCGAGATAGTCGTTCCATTCTGATGTTTGATGGTTTCACTCACAGGTGGTTTCCGGGGACCGGTCGCCTGGATCAACTGAAATGATCTTCGGGCATTACCGGCTTTCTGGGCTTTTTCCATTTTTCTGACTTTCTGTGTCCACCATACTTCACGGTCGGATCGCAAGCTCATTTCCACTTGGCGTCTGATAGCTCTTCGCACCGGGTTATGTTCGGGACCGGCTGGGATACTTCTTCGAGATCTAAGCATTGCCACCGTTCGGTCTGATATCCAGTGCTTGAGTGCGCCTGGTTGGGTCGTGCCACAGACAAACTTCCCAGCACTATTCAAAGAGGTGGCAATCTCGTCCCCGTATGAGTTCACATCTGATGGTAGAGCATTTGGAAGAGACTCTAGAAGACGATTCTTGTAAGTTTGTCTTACATCCGGATCTGCCAGTCTTTCAGTTGCCATGCGATTTGTTCGCACCTTACACGGCCCCGGGAAACGTAGGGAGAAGCGACTCCGGACGAGCGCGTGGTCAGAGTCCACAAATGTGTTCCAAAACGACCAGCAGTCAGTTATGGATCCGCGCTCTGGGCCTGTGACATCGGTTCGGCGCCATTTGTTGCAGTGCCTCTGGGCGAGCACAGTGAAGGTCACGAGGAATGGCGGACCGCAACAACAAGAACCATACTCTTCGCGATCTCTGTCACTCTTCCAATTCACATGTCGATCTCGCAGTTCACACGACTCCGAAGGAAGCATGGAGAACAGTGTTTATCTTGGTAAACGACAATTGGACAGAAGTTAGAAATGACCGAGCAACTGCAGCTTGTGCTGCATATTTCTGGCGCCTGAAGTTACTGTTTCGTAACTAAATACGCGCTTTCTAATTACCTCGTCGAATGTGTGTAATAACGGCACCACTTCTGCTATACTGATGGTCGGAAGCCTCAAGACACAGATCATCTGCCGCATAGGCCATCAATTTGTCGAAATATAGGTAGCTCGGGTATGTTTACTGGTGGTTGATCAGATGGCAGCTGACCCTTTCGCCGAACTTGGCAATTGGCTTGCAAAAACTACATAAACGCAGCTAAGCACGGAGGAAGCACCCATTCAACTGCGCACTGACGATGTCTCTTCGACTGGGGACGAAACGTTTGCAAGCCAATTGCAACCCTTGATACCCAGTGATATACCTTTTTGTGCCACAAGTGATGCAAGTTAGCAAGCGCGATTCGTGTCCTCAAGACTCTTGCGCTGCATCAGACGCGTCAGGGCTAATACGACCAGTGACGTATTTAAAATCCTCTACAGCCCCCTAGAGCTTTTCCTTGAATTGATAGATGCATGCTGAGAAACTGCACATCCTGAAGCATGACTTTGCAATTTGAAGGTGCAAGACGCGTGCCGAAATATGGTACGATGGTAGTAAGTTTAATCAACAGAGCTTTTTTCGGCGTTCTTCAAAGATGAAGACGATGTGTCCGTACTGCAGATCGACAAGGTTCTCATTAACAACGACCTGAACACCGGAGTTTTGAAGGTCATCCAGCGTTTACCTCATTATTTCATCGATGATGTTCATTAACAACGAATTGAACACCGGAGTTTTGAAGGTCATCTAGCGTTTACCTCATTATTTCATCGATGATGAAGGTGAACAAGAGTGGGGAGAATGGATATCCTTGCCGGACACCCGTTTTTGTGGGAAAGCTTTTACAGGTCGTCACACCCGCACGTACTGAAGCATGTGAATATAGGGACCAGACTGTCTACAAACTTCTGGGATGTATCGTGTTTAGCAAGTGTGGTTAAGAGTACCGACCCATCGACAGAATCGAAGGTACTTTTGAAAACTTGAACACCAGTATTATGGGTCGTCTATACATATGACGTCGCTCTAGGGCGTGAAGGTGTGCTAAACGCAGCCTCTATCCTGGTTGATCTTCACAAGTGAAGGACTTGCATACCACCGTAAGAGAACCGATGATGCCAGAATCTTTGTTACCACGGGAGTCAAACTGGCACCCCTTTTGCTACATTCATGGTGAACAACCGTTTTGAAGATGGACACTATTTTACACTCGTACCCGTTATCTGAGACTGTCTTCTCCAAGCCAGATGCAAATAAGCTAAACACAATGGCTGAAGACTTCAGGTGAAATGTCGTCAGGGTCAGAAGCACAGTGACGCTTGAGTAGAGATATACACGGACACTTCTGAGGCTGGAGGCTCCGTATTCACAGTCCACGTTTTTGTTGAAGGTCGGCAGTCCTGGTCGGAGGTAGCAGGTCACCAACTGAAGTACGATCCAAATATTCCCCTTTGCTTGATATCAGCGAGCCACTAGGGTGATATGGATCAGTGGTTAGAGCGCGAATTTACTGACCGGAAGGTCCGTTCGAATCCGACCTCTGCCTCTCGACTACCCCTGTCTAGGCTTGGGGAACCTGGCAGTATCCCAACCCTTGAGCTTCCTTCTGGTGACATGACAGTTGGACACTGAAAGGGTGTTACAGCTGAACGATTATACATATTTTCCTGGGAAGTCTATTTGATATTCCATTGGAAAACAGGTGTCGTCAGCTGGACTCTTAGTACCTCCCCCTGAGAATAGTTGGCCTTATAAGGCTGCGGAGACCACAAACATGTCACGCTGCTCGAATTTTTGTTCGCGGTCGGTCAAAAATTCTTACATCACACCGAATATGTAGTGGCCACTATCAAGCGGTTTTCATACCCCCATTAATTTCTTCCTGTGCTCTACCGTCACTCAAGCTGTCGAATGGGTTCATATAAAGGTGTGCTGTAGTGAAGCTTTCTTCAAATGGCGAATGGTTTAGTGCTCGGACAGTGACGGAGAGTTTCGGGCCCTCGTAGCTTCATGAGGTATGCTAGTAATCGTTTCGGACAAGAACGGTTGTACAATGTACCTCGGTTTTTATGCATAGCTTGGCCTCTTATGCAGGATTACGTATCGCTTAGAGATTTTCTCTATTTAATTACACCCTTCATTCTTTTCTTTTCAGCTGTAAATAACTTAGTTACCGCGTTGATTGTTAGGACCGGTTTCCTTTCTTTCATTTTGATTCTACGTATTTGAAACCGATTGATGCCGAAAGATTTGCTCGCAGTTCTACGTGAGGTACAAGCTTTCTGTATCTGTGTTTACCTACAATACTTCCAAAGGATGATACTATACCCCCGGGTGGTAATGGGTTCAGACCGGCAGAGATCCCAGAAACAGATACTGGCTTGGATGAGTTCTTCAAGGAAGTAAGTCTCCTCGAATTCCTTCTAATGTGCTTGCCACTGTTAGGTTGAAGGCATCCGTGAATCTATAGACAGAATCCAGAATATCATCAGTCAGCTACACATCAAGCATACTGAAGTTCTAGCCGCTCCTCAGCAGAATGAACGTAAGTGCCGGTTCACCGGGTTCGGTAATCCTCAGTGTGCGACAATTGTTCGCCTCGTTATCTCTATTCGTTAATTTAATGTTGATTTTGCCCTATCCCGTTAATTGCTACTGACTATGGATCGTTTTCGAAACTTTTCGACGACATGGATAAGTTAGCTCAGAACTAGAACCTGGATGCTTTTGAGCGATCTCTGGTGGTTAATTTTCTTCCCCACATTTCTGACTCTATTTTCAGGTAAGCACTCCACCCACTCGTCTCATGTGCATGTTTCCGTTTGCTCCGAATCACGAGATTTTCAATCACATGGTTTGGCACAAATGGTTCTAGTTTATCTGTCTCGCTTAGGAAATCAGCAAGCTATCTTAATGTGACGGACAGGGAATCTAGGAGATAATTTTTCAGCAGGTCTTTCAGATGTTCACTATTACGACCTTGAGACATATAATCAGGAATGGGTTAACCTGAAGTGTGGGGAAAACGTCTGTTTAATGCACATCTTTATTCATACCTTTATTAATGCGGAATTGAAACCGATCAGAAACTCATTTCAGCTCACAACAGCCTGTCTGCATGGGGCTCTGCTGCTGCCCTGATATCGTGAATTACTACTATCTGCTGTCAACCTTAGGTCACTGCTTTCTAGTGGGTCGTATTAGTGATAGTGCGCTTGATGTCTGGTTTGGTGATTGGATGAATACAAAACGGATCTCCACTTGTTTCGAAACTTTTATTTTTACTGGATTGGTCCTCAGTAGAGACTCCCATGGTGAGAAGGGAAATTCGACCTCTTCTGAGGACCGGTCCCTCTTCGGAAACTGCTTTCTATCGGCCTCGTCTGATTTTGTCGCAGTCTAAGTGGGGCCTGTTCTTTATTTGATCTTCTTTTACCCCGAAAGTCGAAATAAAATTAGCTTGCCATACTTCTAACTGGTTGTGTGGATTAATGATTAGTTTACTGTACCGAATCACATTCCGTGATATTGCTTCGGAAAACAAAATACAGCTGTTTCAGCTGTTTCACGAGCAGGGCAAAGCTAAAAATATCCTTATCGATTGTAGTGGATTCACACCTAACGTCAGGACTTTTTCGAACAGACTGCTTACTATGATGTGGCCAGTTGGTATTTTGGTTTCAAATATTGTGACGCACGTTCTGTAACGACGAGCCTCGTGTGGACGGAGTAGATGACCTCGTTTTCGTGAGTTTGAGGAGACAAAATGAATACGGAATCTTTAAATCAACGTCTTTTCATGCTCCTCGATCCTTCAAATTTGCGTGACCGAGATAGCATTAAGCTTTCATTGATAATCTCACATCCGTATACTGTATTCACTTCGATTAATGTTGCCATTGTTTGGCGCTTTGGCGTTTAAAGTCCGAGCAAAGTAGCAGTAGTTCCATCTTATATGATAAGGTACGGTGACTGAACGAACAGACGACCAGTTATCTGAACACATACCACTTGCGATCCGGTGGCTGTTGATCTGTTCGCCGAGCTTGGCGCACTGGAGATGTCTCCTCGGATGGTGACGAAACGTTTGCAAATCAATTGCCAAGCTCGGCGAACAGATCAACAACCACTTGATCAATTACCATCTAGTGCACCCGAGCTACCGATTTTCCAACACTGCCAACAACTGTGATCCGTTAGGAAGTACTCTAGACGTGGCATGCTTCCTAAGCGACCAGATAATTCCCCGTCAGATCAGTATAACGATGGAATGGGAGAATGACGAAACTGCTGCATTCGGGCTTACGAGCATTTGGATTAGGACCTACATAGTAAACTTATATTCACACAAGTATTATCCCGTCAACGAGAAGTCGGGTATTATCGAAATATGATGGTTTGCATTATGGTAGAGGTTGTCTGTGTGACCTCGGAGTCTCCCATACCATCTCCGTCAGGGAATAGAGGTCAGATAAACAGTCTCCTGACCTTCCAGGTTAAGGGTTGTAACATACGTGGTGATATCCTCTCTAAATGTTCTGTCAATCTGGTAGTTTCATGCCAATCACTGATGCCTTGTGACCAGACTTTTGAGTCCCTCTGCCTAGGGTTGAGGTCTCCGACAGTATCTCCGCCATGGTAAAACAATGAACTGTACGAATACCACTAGTTCACACCACGTTAGCGGCTGCGTGGTGCCGTCAACTGAATCGCTCTTCTCACTGCATACAGCAGGGCGGGTAATGGAAAATCGGATGATGCTGACACTTCCCTCTCCTTGCTTCATTTAACGATCACCCTTCTTAGATCTGTGATATATGTATCTGGCTTGCATCCAAAGGAAAGACCAATACCTCTGCTCACTTCTGCCGCTTTGCATCTTTCCTGCTATTGTCCCCCGTCTTTGTAGCGATTTTAAACATGGAACCTTCGAAGCAAATTATCCAGCAAGTTGATGCTGTGTGCACTGTTCACGCTATCGATACGTGTTCGCTCCGTTTTCGAAACTCGGATACAAGGTCCGTGTGCAGTACTGGAGCCTATAAAACCTTCGTTATCTAGATGTTGCCATCTACGATCTTGAGGCTATTCTGAATCTGCTGCGATCAACTCTCGAACAGAAGCTTTACTCGACAGGATCCCCATAAACATCCGCCTTTGCGCTCTTCGTTTGTCAAATTCCATCAAGACCCGCACTAGCCGAAATAATACCCGTTCTCTGTCCATAGTTTGCGTGTACTTTTGTCGAAAACTGATCACTTTCCTATCCAGCACGAGTAGTTTACATACAGTCGCTGTCAACGGTTATCTGAATGACAATTAGATCGTCTTGGTTCATCAAAGGAACAAATTCGTGACTTTTTCAGCTCAGGCCCAAGACGTAATGGCAGTAGTGGTAGTCTCAGTAGTGCTAGATTCAAACTCCATAGACGACGTTGCGCTACATGGCTCCCTCTTTTATAGACAACTGCGGAGCCCAGTTAGCCACATTGCGATTAGCACATAGATCCGACAACCTGTTTTCGTGTTTGGACCACTCCCATCGATTCCGATCATGCTCTCTTCCGGTGTGAATCATGTTTCCTGGGGAGGCCGACGTGACAACTTCCCTGTTTATCTGTAGAGCAACCCTGTAATCCACAGCGTAGTTTATGCGAAGCTTTGAGAACCGCATCCTCAGGTGACGTCAGTCTTAAGTGGGACGTGATACGCACCGTGATCTTTACGGAAGGAAATTTAGCGTGGGGTCGTTCTGGCCCACCAAGTAAGCAGTGAATTTCGGAACGGTTACCCTCCCCCTGAATGCGCGACTTTTTGTATCTTTGAAAGTTGAGTACGGTTCAGTCAAAAAGTCTATAGACGTCAGCTCGTTCATAGTCTGCTTACAGATGGGAAAAGCCAGATGACTCCAAAAGTGGAGGAAGCTAGTGCAGCTATAAATATCCGGATTCTCCCCGATAAGCGAAACTGATGGTCAAGATAATATTGGAAATTTGTTTGTAACAAGGGAGCCAGCGTCTTGATTGCTGGACTGAATAGTTCAGACAACACTTTAGTTGACCCTCTTCTTTCGTACCTTACTTGAGGCGTAGTCCCTCAGTTTCTGAACTACTGGTGTAGCTTTCTGTTGTGAAGCGCCATCGAGCCGCTGTGCCGGATGACCCGTACCGATGTTGTCTTAAGACGAAGATGTGTGTTTCGACGAGGTGGGAGTGCACGGACCGTATCTTCACATTATCTCAAGTGAATGAATAGCGTCACATGTATCGCCGACCAACTGCGGCGTATTAACTTGATTCCAAAGGAACCTTCGATTTTATGACTGGATAGGCTCGCCCTTCCGTATATGCTTGGTAAGCTGTAAATTCCATCGGCGTTTGTCAATATTCGCCATGTAACTAGTTCACATACGTCTGGTCATGTTTCGCTTTACAACGAGCTATCCGAAAGTTACCGCACAGCTAGTGGAGCTTGCCAGGGATTTCCCCTGTCTCACCATTTATGTCGATGACACCATCTGTGATTTTGCTGTGGAATAAGTTGCGAAAATACATTTGAAGAAAGCTTGACAGACTTGGATAGCGCGAATGAGATATTTCTCTTATCTATCACGCGTCTGTACAGACTATCATAAATAAAGTCTTGGAGATGATATCCTGTATCGGCATGCAGTTAGCACCTTTAAAGCGCAAGGATCTACTGCAAGACTCTCCAATCCATTTTAACACTTTGAGACCCCAGAATGAGGAGCTTGAGTTTGTTAGTCGGTCTATTTATCTCAGATGCACTGCGATAGATGAAGTCAGTATGCATATTGTTAGGGCACGAGTAATATTTGTCATCTTGCATCACCTTGGGCGTTGCATGTAAGTATCATGGGTTAAAAGGCCGTGTGTACAGAACTACGATGAAAACATCCCAACTCTATGCCTCTGATACTTGACCTCTTCGACCCGAAGAACTCAAACATCTTCAAACATGTGATCTGTGCAGACATTAACTGGCTGCAGCATATGAGTAACAAAACGGTCCTTAATGAAGTACTAGGTTATGAGTCGGATCCAATCGAGCGGCACATGAATCTTATCAGGTTTAGGTGACTGGGTGGCCTACTACGTATGCCCGATCCTTATCTACCAACTTGTTTTCCACTACAAACCCATATTGACGAAACGTTCGCGTAACTAGCAACGTGAAATAAAAATGGCTACTGTCAAGTTGAGCGCTGTGGCATATTCCCAGGTTGGGTCGATGCGACTACTTTTGCGCGTGGTAGGAACCCTACAGGATACGGCATGCAGTAGGTTACAATGGGGCGCTTGCTACCACTTTCTAGCCTGACTTTCCAGCTAACGATTATTTGTCGTTGTGTGCTGCGCTTGTGTTGGGTGTGGTTTGCAAAGAACATAGGATGAATTTCGTCGATGGCATCTTGATCCAACACGATACTCAGGTGTCTTACCTCAATACGTTTGGAAGCTGGTGGGACCTAGCTTCCTATCGTTCTCTATAGGGGCATGAGTCCCCACTTTTCCCTTCCTTTTTCACACTACTGTGACCTTCCATGGTCGTATTCAAGTTTCTACGACTATTGTATTGTCCGTGATAATGATAATGACTCACATACATCAGTAATTCTGGATGAGGATCTGGTGGAGTCATCAAGCAAAGACACTGAATGCGGTAGCAGCAGGCGTTCACGTAACGTGCTTCAAACACAATTTAGAGAGTTCCCACCACCAATACTGTGTAAATATCAGGCTTCATTCATTCATTCATTCATTCATTCATTCATTCATTCATTCATTCATTCATTCATTCATTCATTCATTCATTCATTCATTCATTCATTCATTCATTCATCCATTCATTCATTCATTCATTCATTCACTCATCCATCCATCCATCCATCCATTGTCGTCCATTCATCCATTCACTCATTCAAGATTTTGTTTCTTCACTGCGACGCGGAAATTCATTTTTGGTTGCTATCCATTGTTGCGCATAATTCCGTTGGCTCGTTAGAAGCGACTGCTGTCCCATCATCGTCCCAGTAACCGGTCGAAACTGGGTTTTCGCTGGTTGTTTTTCACTTATCCCATTCCGGGTACGACAGTTTGAAATCTTTTAGAGGCTCACGATTCTTTTTCAGGTTTTTACCTCCAAATCCGCTTCCCAGGTTTCGAGGGACTCCGATGCCATATCTCAACTTCATGAAATCACTCTAATTAGTCCATCTGTTTGGTCTTCACTCTGTAACGACTTCACTAGGTTTACCAACTGCTACTGGTGCTCAAGTGTATCAACTTGAAGACAAGTGTACTTAACCACACACTATTTTTTGTCAGCATATGGTATCTATGTCTAGGTGTAACTGCTTTGTCCTCGTATGAGCTAGACACTTGTTTCCTTTTCATGTGTTGGATATGAATACGAATTGTCTATTTGTATAGACATGTCCGTCTACTTGCGCTTGAATTAAGAAGTTCAGGTCGAGTGCATAGTCATTTTCACACCACTCGTTTTGTTGTTTCAAATCCTGGTTGATTGCTTCGTCGATTAGATTTCCCTTATACCGACATTATCGTTTTGATTCTCACTCTCTTTACAAAGGAACCAAACAGGAGATTGAAGAACTCACAGATACCGTAAAAAACAGTGCAGGTCAAGTGCGACTAAAGCTAAAACGTAAGTTTCTGTTTATTTTTATCTACCGATGATAGTGATTTGTTCTTGTACGTCAGCCTCATTGACCTATCTGACGTTGAATTAACTGGTGCGAGCCTCATGTAGTATTCTGTTCTACGAATACCTGTTCGTAATCAACGGCTTCGTGAGTGCGGTTTAACACTTGGTCCCTGCATTCATCTGAATAATACACGCAAAGCACCAGTTCACTTTTGTACTGTCTCAGTCATTTGGTTTGATTCAGGTCTCTGTTTCCTATTCTGGACTTGGCTGTCGCACTGCATTCAAAGTAGTCAGTCATCATGGAGGTGCTACTCTTGCAAGGAGAAACCGCAGGTGCACACACAGGCTTTAAACGTTCGCTTAGTCCGTCCACCAGACCAGTGACTTCGTAACTACCTCGATTCCGCACGCTGATCTTGGGGAAGCTGTTGTTGCTTGAACTTTTTGCATTTGTCCAATAAGACTAAGGGATTTTATCCGATTTTGTTCTAAACTCCCATTTAGCTTGTCATCCTTTTCATCGTACGTGTCTCACTTCCTGACCAAACGAATTTGGTCAGCTCAGTTACATAGAAACACCGAATTGCTTATGAGCAGTTGGATTGTCGAAAAAATCATTCATTATCGGCGAAATACGCTGATTTGCAAACGAGGTTTGCGTAACTCCAGTGAGTGGGACTGCAGTGAGTCCCCAATGAATCCCTCGTTTATGTTTTTAAACCGAATGGGCTGCACAAAGATCGCCTCATGTTACAGCTGATGTGATATGGAAGTGTATTTCCTTGACACAAAGGATAACATAAACGAGAGATTTAGCTGGAAATCAGTTGAGTGGCCGTCAACACCGATTCAGCGTGCGAATTCGCCTATTTCACCATTTGCGTGGAATTTGGTGTTCAAGTAGAACGTGAGACCGAAAACTACGCTTATCTGATGTGCCCCAAGAAGTGTGAAACCGGTAGTGGGCTGTCGAAGAGTCTGCAGCAGCGTTATACGTAATATGTTGTATCAAGAAGTCGTCCATATATTGTTCAATCAGCAACGAAAGTTACAGTGCTTTGTTCATCTATTGCTCATGCCAAATTATCGTCTAACATGTCCAATTCAGAGTAGCACAAGGGAATATTTGGCCCACCTATGACTTGGTAGAGATATATGAAAGCGACTACGAAAGGTCTACGTACTGTCTTTATGACTCGTTTTCCAGAAGGATGTTCGCGTTATCCCCATTTGTGTGATTGGAGACGCTGCAATTTATCGCTGCTGACAATAATTCACCGACTGCCAGTTTCTACCCAGACTATCTGAATGAGTGTCTGAAGGTGTAGGTGCCTCGGAATGGTTGTGGTAGGCTAACATGGTACCATTTCCCCATCCTCTTTTTATATTTTTCTCCACATTAAGGCTTTCAAGTAAAGCATAGTAGTTACCAGCTGATTTACGCACTATGGCCGGTGTGAGTTGATCGCTTGTCTATATAGACTAGGACTGACTGCCATGGACTGGGTTTAAATCCTTGTCTCACTGTATGGTTTGCGCTTGTTTCACTAGGATCCTCGCCACTGTAGTCTCCAGCTGGCGCATCATTGTGTGTTTGGCTTCATCTGGATTCGGTTTGTAAGTAGACTGTCTATACTCAAGGTGCGCGTATGAGTTCGCACCAGCACCACTGATAGACTAACATCAAATACACTGCTTGGATTCATCCGCTCCTCACTTGTGGTAAAAAGCAGTAACTTTCAGAACAATTCTTTTCCTTAAGTATGGCTGGTTTCGACAAGAGCATGAATGCGCTCCACATGTGTCGTGGTGTGTCATGCCAGAAGTTGTGCCATTGCTCGGTTACACGGTTCAGGCTTTGCGCAACCAAGTGAGACTTACAAGGCATTAGGAGAATGGTAGAGAACATTTGAGCATTATTGCATCCGTCGCTAGTGGATTCCGAGCGAGGGTTTTTACAAACTGATGAACTGTCGTTTACGCTACAGCCCCAGGTCACAAAGGTTGGATTCGACAGGTGATGTACCTTACGACCCCAGAAGTGCTAGATAAGAGGAACACAGCAGCATTACCTAGCCTATTTCTGTGCAAGTCGGTAACGTCTGGTAGAATGAACGCTTATTTCATTACCTTCACTCGGATCAAATGCGCGGAACCGTTTTTGTGATACCGTCTTCGTCTAGTATCAGTTAAATCCTACCGCCAAACAGGCTGATCAGCATATTTACTGAGACTTGTGTTCCACCCTTTTGCTACTTTGTGTACCAGCTAAAGCAAGTAGCAGTTGGTAACCACCGAGAGCGGTTTCGATTCTTGTTAATGGTCAGTATAATCGATGGCCCTTAATGTGGGATAACAGACGAATACAAACGAATACTTAGCTTAGATCTAGTGAATCCAGTGACCCTTACTAAAGCAACGACAGACTGACGCCTTAGCGAGATTGAAGGATACGCTTGTGGTGTTCTCTCACTGCTATTGATTGTTAATCAACTCCAGTCCGTTGCCCCTCTGTTTCACACTGGTGAAGTGAACATTGGCGAATATTCGTATTCGTAGCTCCTTTACGTTTACCAACTCTACACGCGTTATTTGTCTCCATGCTTTCACAGGTTGTTTATACTATTAGACCATCAGGATCCTTCACCATCTGTCACTTTTGGGTACGGTTGATGTTCATCTATCGCAAACGAGCGTTTGGCTCACATAAACTCAGTTTCTCGCAACAACCAGTTTAAGTTAAACTGTAATCAGACTCTTTACCACCAGAACACGTGCAGTCCATGTTCTGTAAGAATGGAATGATTGCTCGTTGTTTACCTAGCGAAGGCCATGATTTGGCTCTGAGGCCGTCCCACGTCTTGTTGAGTTGTATGAACCTATTAACTTTGCAGTAGACGGTAGTGGATGAATAGCTTTGACCCCATACACATTCCTACACGATGCATGTATTGATGTTCCAGGAAAATGAAACACTGTCTCGGTCATCGCCACGATGTTCCATGAACACTAAATTTTGTTTTCGTATACATTTATTTACCTATATGCCAGAGTTGGAACAAGCCATTCATGAACAGGAAGCCAAAGATCCCTCCGTGGCCACCGTCCGAGTGCGGAGAACACAGGTAAGCTCATTGAACGCCCAATTTACTGAACAATACTCGCGTTGTTATTTCTTTGGTTTGTTTGTACATCTTTTCATTCGCCTCGCTATCCTATCAGTGATATTTACTCCCAATGAGCGAGCTGTGGGAAGGTTTCCGGCCTTGTACAGTTGCTTGACATAGGGTCTGTCATACTTTGGTGTGATATAGCGAAGTTTCGCTCATCTGTCACTAGTAACGTAAATACTTAAATTGCTAGTACTTTAGATAGATAGATCATGGACAACTGTCGGCGCCGTGCAGCGCTGCAAGCGATCCATATACCTCCAGAAACATGCACAGTTTGGAGCTCAGATAATTAAAGGAGTTCACCGTTTCTCTGAATCATCAACTCAGTGCAAGGCGTCCTATGGGAATTAGGGTTATTTTCTGGAACCGAAATTTAACTGCAATGATATTTGCAGTAATGCGGCAGTTTCGAACAACCAAGATACCCTATCAAAATGGATTACTGGCCACTTGAGATGGTTGATTCGGAACTCACCCCATTCAAATTTCCTCACACAATTTAAAAAAAAGTAAGGGTTCATTAGGGCTGCTCTTTCTCATTGCCTAATTTACCAGAGCCTCAGCACTAGTTGTTTTCGGTGAGAGAACAAAACCCACACCGCTGAAACAAACTTGATCAATTTTGTCAATAAATGGATTGCAGTTACCAATTCATTTTCGTTTAAGTATTCAAGAGTAGGCGTTCGAATGAATAGTAGTTGAATGTACGTCAGATATTACATAGCATCTCTCATGAAGACCCACTTTGGCCGTTTTCCATTGGAAGCCCCTGAGTTTGGCACAGACGTTAAGCTTTTTAAACTGTCATTTGCCCCGCCACATCTGCTCCTTTGTCAAGAGGTTTTAAATACTCATTTGGTAGAAATTTTAGAATGTGTGGAGCTTGACAGGACATTGAGCACGCGCTTTTCAGTTACCCTTTTGTTTTGACTATTTTTCGAAACACATGGTAAATGTCGTGTTGACCTCTTAGCGTAGACTCACATTCACTTGCAAAGTCCATCGAAAGTCAAACAGGAGGTGTGTAACTCTGAGCCACCCGTTTGAGGCTTTTGACTTCAAGGGATTCCAGTTTGATGGATGTATTGACTGGCTGCCGACCCTGCCTATTGCTGTGGCTACGGAATCTGCCTCTTTTGGCCGTTCCGGTATTTTGGATTCACAGACCACTGTTGATTGACCATTTAAAAGGCTACTACTGCTATGTAGGCGTTGTAACTACTCATAAGATTGCTGGAAACTCTCTGACTGTTCACGACCGGTTTCGTCCTTGTTGGGGATTATCAAGAGGGGCAATCATCTAGTTTCCATCAACCTAATATTCTACTTGAATTGTTCGAAATTCGACTTAAGCACTCATCTGCAAACAAATTCAATTTTGATTGGAAACTCCCCTGGAATTCAGCTGAGTCCCTCGTTTATGGTGTTCTTCAACCGAATGTGCTGGACCGTAAGTGGGAGATTCAGCTGGGTTACAAGTGAGTCGAAACCAAATAGATGAGTGCATCTACTACCGTGTTTTTGGATCAGCAGGCAGAACTGGTCATGAGTACGTTAACATTCCTGTGGAGTTTGCTTTCGACACATTTACAGTTCAGCTACTGAATCTCCTGTTTTAGCACTCAACCATTACTCGGCGGTTTATGGACGTCATGGCCGCATACAATAAAGAGCAAACCGACTATCGTGATGCATGTAAAGCACAAATCAAGCTGAAACTGGAAATCGGTATGCCTGTTGCCGCTCTCCAGCCCTGTATTATTGTTGCTGCTGCCTCCCGCAAGGTGTTGCTCTGTTTGATTTGCGTGATTCTCGGCTAAATCCTTTTTTGTGTGCTCCGGGTTTGTTTAACGAAGTGCTTCACTTCCTCTCGCTTCTTTGCTCCCCCCCCCCAATTAAATTCACTGCTTGCTGGCCGTTTTTTCGTACAGCTTGTCAGTCTGTCCAAGCGGTTTACCGAAGTGATGAAATGTTTTTCCGCCATACAAGTTGATTATAAAGAACGCTGTAAAGCTCTACTCAAACGACAGTTAGAAGTTGGTAAGCTGCAGAGACAACTCCACACTTTATGTGTTTCCGGTTTCGTTGAGCGGTTCNGCATGCATAATACATATATGTGATCGTAGTGTGGTCAGTGTGGTTAGTCGACTTGCACACGAAGTGAATGGTGCTGTTTTATCGGGTCTGTGTCATTTTTTTTCCTGTATTTGCGTTTGTTACTAGAAGCTCCCTAGTTAGCTGGTTGTTATATGGTAAATAACTTACTATACTAGGAACTACGCAGATGTTTGCATACGTTTGTGTAGCACGGTTGTCTTGGTAGTCGTTGTGTGCCTTCCGGCGCACAATCATGTCTGATAGGTTCCATGCACTGCTAAAGTTGGTCACATTCTCCCCCACTTGGCTAACATAGTCACCATGCCTTAATTGCCGTGTTCAAGCGGCTTTCCAACTCACCATTTAGACTGATAATTTTTATGGAGTTTGACCAGAGAGTGTTAGCTACGGTTTTCAAGGCATAAGCTACTCATAGTCGAAAAAGCCTGTGGTGTTATGTTCTACACGCTAGCGTTAACTATACAAACAGCCAATAAATTACCAAATCGACGCATTGGATCTGCCGTACTTTCTTCGTTGTGATGCTATTATAATTGTGTACCACTCTGGTGTCTTGCTTGCCTTTCGGTTCGCGCACAAAAGCAGCTTGGTTCGCTTGACAGCAGCTTTTTCATCTCATAGGTCGTTAAGGCATGGAGCACTGGCGTCCTACTTGACACGGCCCATCGATTAAGGTAGACCCCTGAGAACAGCTACCGATTGGTTGTCGCTTATGAGCGGCGTGCGCCTTTTTATTAGTGAGGGTTCAAGCGGTCCACAGTGAGGTGTAAGGTAGGACAAGGCTGTCATTTTTATATCAGGCGGTACTCCTCCTATCCACCATTGCACCTTACAACGGCTCCCTCCACGATAGCTGTACACTGTGCTCACAAATGCCCGACCATTCGTCCTTCCGTAGTACGACCTAATTCGTCTGTTTTTTTTGTGGGAGGGCGATGGAAGCTTACAATGACCACATAAAATATGTGAAAACGGTACAAACTTTTCGTATTCTGGTTTTAACGGAGTTACCCCTGCTTTTATTAGCTTAATCAGTAAAACTCCAAACTACTTTGGGAAGAGATTGTTTTTTCATAACCTGTGATGATGTACCCAGCCTTTCGGGATATATTACTATCTCCTACTGACTACTGCCCATCGGTCTTGAACACCCTTTTTAGTTGTTTTATTAAGTAGATGACTATCACTCTTCTCAAGCGATTGATGCCATTTGTTTTCCCGATTCGTATCAAATGCGATTCCAAGTTCCTCGCCTCAGTGTGTATGCTTGTCCTCCCCATCATGAATATCTGTCCTCACCACAAAACGTTCAGCTTATAACATTTTCCATCTGCATGCTGTAGCTTTTGCCTTATTCGGGCTTGTTGCCGATCTCCCCAAACCATCGGGCCAATGTCTCGTCGAGTCAGCGTCAGATAAGTTTGCCTAGTCGGATTTTCCGCAGGCCAGCTGAGGTTCAAAGGTCACTCAAGTTTCTTCTGGACGCGGAGTTGTAGCTGATGAAGTTGGATTCTAAGCTCATCTACAGTTGATAGGAGTCTTAATCGTGCCAACCCGGTATACAACATCCAGGGCGTGCTCCTTGCTTATGATATAGATCATTCCAGCCAGATGTGTGTGTGATGCAGTCGCACTTGGCACTTGAGTTCGGTTTCTTCCAACCATTAGAAGCTATCCCATCCAATCTACCCTGATCCTCGACGAGCGAAACGGCCGCAGCTATATCCACTGTACGCCATGTATGCAGCCTTCACAACTGAGAATGATGGTGCTTGATTTGAATTGATCCAAACAATATGCCCGTCCTCACGTAAACCTATTTTCGGCTTGTGGAGACCTACACCAGACTGAACTACCGCCCCTCTGTACACCATTTATAATCGATGTGCTACACTACATGTTCTGGATGCAAACACGGTGGTTTAAGCCCTTGGTACATATTTTTCTAATATGAGCAGGATTTCCTTGCCTAGTGGTCATTCGGTGTCATACCACCCATCCTTCCGGCCTGGAAACGTGCTTATGAGCGGCGTGCGCCTTTTTATTAGTGAGGGTTTAAGCGGTCCACAGTGAGGTGTAAGGTAGGACAAGGCTGTCATTTTTATATAAGACGGTACTCCTATCCACCATTGCACCTTACAACGGCTCCCTCCACGATAGCTGTACACTGTCCTCACAAATGCCCGACCATTCGTCCTTCCGTAGTACGACCTAATTCGTCTGTTTTTTTGTGGGAGGGAGTATTGTAGTCTCTTGTTGCCTTGTTGTTCTTTGTCAACACAGCTAAAGCACAACCTTTAGGGAACTGTGGATAGTTCCCACTTCCAAATCATCTTGTGCATGTATCACTATGCTCAAGTGAACTGGGGCAACTGTTTCGGTCACCAGGAATGCAAACCACTCATCAGTTTTGCGGGCAAATGTGCTACCCGTAGCCCTCCGTTTCCTCGTCGTTGTGTCTTAGCCACTCATTATTTACCCCTAGTTCGATCCAGTTCGTTTTCCCGATTCGTATCAAATGCAAATCCAAGTTCCTCGCCTCAGTATGTGTGCTTGTCCTCCCCATCATGGATATCTGTCCTCACCACAAAACGTTCAGCTTATAACATTTTCCATCTGCATCCTGTAGCTTTTGCCTTATTCGGGCTTGTTGCTGATCTCCCCAAACCATCCGCCTTTCGGGTCGCGTCAGTGTTGTCATGTAAAATTTGTTGTATACGTAGTGCATTCAAGTCGAAATATTACCCATACCGTATATCCCCTTTTCGCGGTGCGATCATCGCCCTGGGTGCATTTCCATTCCGGATTTCTCATCACACTGGAGATCTCTTGCCGTGTTTCGCACAGCTTGATTTCATTTATGTTTTTGCACCTTTCACACTGGCGTTCTCCAATCTTTTGTATTTCACCTGAGTAACCTTGTCATGTCTTATCTTTTTTCTTCGTCAGCCGAATGTCCCAGAACAGACGAGGAACTCGAGCAGATGTTGGAATCAGACAATCCCCAGATTTTCACTCAGGGGGTATGTTTTCAATTTTATATTCACTGAGTGACTCATACTGTATTGCATCACTTCACTTTTCATACACTGGCATAGTTATTTCTGAAAAACGGTTGTCTTTAGTGCACCAGAAGGCACTCCGAACCTTCCCTTTTCCCGACGATATTTTTCACTGATCAGTCTGATGTGGGTAAACATCGTTCTGAGTCGAGTAGTCCATTTCACAGCATACTGTTTACCAGTGAATTTTCGCGGCTAGTGTTCAGCGCTATCGTTTAGTTTTTGTTGACAAAATTTAAGGCACCGGACTGTCAGCAGTATGCTTTGTCGCGGCAGCGGCGAACTTGAAGTATTCTTTTGAAGAGTTTGTGTCACTGCAAAAGAAATGTTGTCCTGGCTCCAGACTTGCAACCTGGAACGTGAGAACAGTATAGGCTAAGGAACGCAGTCAAATTCGAAATGTCTGAAAGGCGTTAGGTGCGAGGGCTATGCCTGTCGAGGCGACTTTACACAGAAGAAAGCCTCGAATGCAACCTTCGTCGGTGATTGCAGGTTGATTTTACTGCAGAAGGCTATACAGAGATGTGTAACTCAACGATGGAACAAATAAAATGAAAAATGAATCTCGTCGGCCTAATAGGTAGAGTACCTCTGTTGACTGAAGACTCTATCAAACATCCACAAATAAGCTTGTAGATTCAAACCTTGATCACCGCCTTTTCATGCTTAATGAACCTGCTTAACTTTGGTACCTCTGAACGGCTAGCGCTGATTCAAATTCAGTTGATACTGGAGTTTTCGGAGAATCCCATGCAAATACCTGTCCTAGCTTTTATTGTATGGCATCTCTGATCGCTGCATCAAGATGCTTGACCCTCAACGCTGCAGCAGCGTTTGGGGATTTTGAACTGTAGAGTTGCCGTGAAGACAAAAGCCAATGCAAGGCAGAATTGTTCCGAAAAATTTTCGACGGAAAATTCGCGATCTGTGAACTGGGGATTACGAACAGTAGAAGTTTGAAACTGTAACATGAAGGGTGAGATACAACTTTTAACCTTGTCAGCACATTTATCAATTTACCTTGATCAGCACTTGTAGCCCAACCATTTCGATTCAAGGCATCGGTGTGTGCGGCGGTCAGTGGTTCCAAAGTCTTCGCAGTGTCTTCACAGTACCAGTAGCTTGATTGCTGGATTTTTGTTTCCCGGTCGAATCTATGTTTTTGAAACAGCCTTTTGTACATCCTGTGATTCTATGTTGATCTAATTCAGCCAGTTGGCCAATTGCTTTCTCGGATACATCGCACCGTTTGTTTCATAACAAAAGCAGACTGATGCACAGGCGTTCCACGTGGCTTTTCGGGATAACTGCTGTTTTCCATGTTCTTTAGTCCCAACCGGAATTACTGCCTGTAAGGTATAGCAATTAGCCTATCGAGTGTTCCAGCCTAGGCTGTGGCAACGTGACAGTATTTCAGTCCCCATTCTCCCTTAAACTTGCATGGCAGCTGCGCTCCGAAAGGGTACCACCGTTCGACTATCATTACTTGTGTCATCTTTGCCAAACGATGAAAGCACCATCCGTTTATGTATCATTTGGTTGACTGATGGTTGTTCAGTCGTACAGCAAGCTATGGTTATTTGAGAACCCATGAATTCATTCCGCCATATGCCGTTATTGGAAACACGTAGGTCGCCATCGTCGCTAATCACCCCCCCCCTCATGCCGACACCGCTTGTGGCTATATTGTGGACAACCGGCAACTCCCCTCTAATCATCATCATTGATGACAACACCAGGAACACCTGTATTTCGTTTGAGCTCGAATGTCGCTTTGTCCAGTGTACAAGGTTTCACGGCGGTACATCTCTTTGCGTTACAAGCGTTCTTTTGATCTCTATGTGGAGACCAATTTTTTCACGCCTACCTTGTTGTGGGGTTAATCATTCTTTCTAAGCCGACGCCACCAATACGCTTTCTGCTGGAAAGATTGCGCTTTGCCAGCACATTTCATTTGGAAGGATGCTTGTTCGGTAATCCGCTTTTCTTTTCACAGATTCTCATGGACACACAACAGGCCCGACAGAACGCCGCTGATATCGAGGCTCGTCACGAGGACATCCTAAAGCTAGAGAAAAGCATCCGAGAACTTCACGAGCTGTTCATAGACTTGGCTGCTCTTGTCGATTCACAAGTAAGGAAGCAGTTTCACTTGTGGTAACATCCCAGAGACTCTCTTTGATGTTCTTTAGCTGAAGTGGAATGGGCTCTCCAGGAGAATGATATACTTCCTGATCTATTTTGTGATGACTATTTTTTAGGATTTAAACTTTGGTGGGATCTCCGTAATCCGAAGGAAGTTGTGTTAGTTGTCGAGAAATACACTCATTTGCAAATCAATTTGGTTTCAAGTAGGTCATAAGGTTGACGGAAACTCGGGGACTGCGCCTACCTGATGAGCCCCAAGAAGGGCGAAACCGGTCGTTGGCTGTTGAAGAGTTTTCAACAACCTTGTGAGTAGTTTCCTCTATGAAAATATACTGCGATATCTCGAATATCGTGCCAACTGAAAAATGAGGCGGCCTGTGTGCAGCACTTTTAGTTGTAGAATATCATAAACGAGAGATTCAGTTGAGTCTCTCGTTAAAACCAAATTGATTTGCAAATGAGTGTATTTCTCGACAACTAACACAAATTCCTTCGGATTACGGAGATCCCACCAAAGTTTAAATCCTAAAAAATAGTCATCACAAAATAGATCAGGAAGTATATCATTCTCCTGGAGAGCCCATTCCACTTCAGCTAAAGAACATCAAAGAGAGTCTCTGGGATGTTACCACAAGTGAAACTGCTTCCTTACTTGTGAATCGACAAGAGCAGCCAAGTCTATGAACAGCTCGTGAAGTTCTCGGATGCTTTTCTCTAGCTTTAGGATGTCCTCGTGACGAGCCTCGATATCAGCGGCGTTCTGTCGGGCCTGTTGTGTGTCCATGAGAATCTGTGAAAATTAGTCGTATTCAAGTAGCCTGTGATTTCATCATTCATCTGCCGTTTGACTCCGTTCCGAGTACTAGCCTCTCATGGCTTGAAATGAAATTGTTTTTTTGGAAGCTCCACTGCTACCAAAATTCTTATCTAGGAAAATGGAAGTGGTAAGAATAAGAAATGGTCGGAAGGGATCTAGTGCCATCACAATTATTCTGAAATACCTACATCTGGAAATGCCCAGTTAGACGCTCTGGAATCCATAAATATTCGGAAGTAACGCCAATACACTTAGAGTTACATAGGCTCCAGAAATATGCTTGAATTGGACTTGAATCTGCACTCAACGAATGCATCGCTTTGTGTTTTTCTGAGAATGACTTAGCTCAAAATTCGAACAAAGTGTAGATGGTTAGGTCCGTGTAGCGAACTGATTAAACCATTCAGGTTGGCTTATGTGGATTGATTTGAAAGTGGAAAACGAACAAATTGCCGTTTTCAGCTACTGTTCTATGTCTGTTATTCCTTCCGTAGATGAGGAACCATGAGGAAACGAGTCTTTTGGCCGCTACCGCGGTTCGCCCTTTTCTGTGATGTATTTTACATCAAGTTATGAATTATGGGAACGATTCTGTGGCCTATCCTTTAGGCGATCTCTCTCTCTCTGACTATTGCTGCAATTCACCTCTCCTACTATCCAATAAAACAACTTTCAGCTCTGATATCCTATTCAGTTTCTTCCTTTTCTGTGGTTCCTTTTTGAACCGCACTGCCTCATCGATTTCTTCTTTATTTACCTCAGAGTGAGCTTTTGGATCGGATAGAATACAATGTTGATGCAACCCAAGATCACATCACAGGCGCCGTGATAGCAACAAAAAAGGCGAAAGAATACCAGAAAAAGTCGCGGAAGGTAATTTATCTGTCGCGTCCTAATAATGTACTGTAAAACTTAATGGGCTTTGTTCTACTAAGCGACGTGATGCATCGTGTTTCGTTCGTTTCATCTCACCGACAGCCATAGTATATTTGAACGAGATATTTTCCTCAGGTCCCCTCTCCCTCTGCTGTGCTCGATGCAGTTGCTATGATTGTTAACAAAGCTTGTTTTCTAGTATGATAGGTGATTTTAGAATGATGTCCGGTGGACTGTCGTCACGCCATACAGTATCTCTTCTCTGAAGTTCACGGAGTGGGATACCCTGCTCTCTTCTGGTGACGTCAACTTTATGGGGAAAGGGAGTACAGCAAATAGTAGCTGGTGATAGGATGCTTTCTCAACGTTATTTTGATGGTCCCCTGTTTTGGTCACCGCTTTATTGTAACGCACTCTCCATTCGTTGGTGCTGTTTTTTTTCGTTGTGTGCATTTTTCGTTGTTTTTGCATTCTTGCGTGACCGTCTTTTTACTTTCGGTTGTCGCAGTATAGAATGGCAACATTTTACGTGAAAGCAAAGGATCGGCTCTGTTCAATAGTTTCCAGTGTTGATCAGTTATACCTTACCTGGTTTTGGTTGGTTGAATGGCAAATTCCAGTGCGGTTGTTTGCAAATTACACTAAATTGGCCTATTACACTGGGTGGATTGCTTTTGTTGTGTACCACGAAGCCTGTCTGTGACCGTTTTGATTCCGTTCGAGTGTTTGCTGTCCCTCCATGAAGAGCTTTACCTTTTATTCTTATAGACGCCAACCGTAAACTCGCATTGACCATTTAACCATGTTAGTGAACTCACCACACATCCTAGGCAACTATCTTGTACTTCGTAGTCGTTCCACACCATTAACTTGCATCCCAATAGTTGAGATTTAGCGGCAGTCGAGGTTGTCTTTGCCTGCAAAACGTAGTCTTCAACATGGAGGTATCCGTGACATACTGGAAGTGTCTAACTTGACCTTCGTACGACAGCTAATTACGCCTATCTATCCTCATTCGTGACTCCCGTAGCCGACCTGCGGTTGAGACGTTGCAAAATACGATCACCCTGGCAATAACTTCCGTCTTGTGCTCGTGTTTCGTACTGTTGGTTAACAACACCTTCCCTATAGACCAATCTCTACCTCAAACATGCACTCAGTCCCGATTACGAATTCGGCTCTCCAGAATAATTTCGATGCCAGCGTTGTTGATTACAGCGAGCGGAAATGCACAGACAGCACTGTACTGGCACGCCTATACCTTGGTTAGCCTCTTCAGTCTTGCTTTCTATCCACACAGTACTTTTCTGAATCACTTGACATGGTTGTTCGTTCGGTGTTGTTACCGTCAGTGCTGAAGTGGAGTTTCTGTTCAGCTGTCTTATACGTTTTAACCGATTCTGACATCTGTGGACACTAGTCTCGTGGAATGTTCTGTGGTCGCCCTGTAGTGTATATGGGGAAACATCATTGACGAATACGTCCATTCATGGTACAAGGTTAGGCTCTTTGTTTCAATTTAACTTCGTTGCAGATTTGTTATGGTGAGGGTGGTTGTGCGCACCTCACTGAAGCACGATTTTGTGGTCATTGGACAAATGTTTAGGGGCAGTCTCGTGCTTCGACAGCTAATGTGATGTGCTTCCCTGTTTTAGTTGCGGCACACAGTCGGCACTTTTTGAGACTGTTTTGGGATATTCAATGTGTAATGAAGAATATTACTGCTTTTGTCGGTGTTTCTATTCCGATCTCCGCAAGTACGGCTGTTTATTGCCAAGTGCACGTTCTTCAGTCGCGTTCACATTCACACAAGTCCGAGTTCCGTCTGTAAATAGTAATCTTGGAATGAGGTATAAGTGACCGTTTTCAAACCCATTTCTGCCAGTTTTTTCTCGAATTTCAGCCTGGTGTTGATTTCGTTTTCTAGCAGTGTATCCAAACATTTACCACGCGTGTGGAACTGTGGGAACTACGTGACCAGAACGGTTTTTCTGTGTTTTGCAGTGTCAAGTATTTGCTGCGAGAAACCAAATGTATGCGACTCATGTGCTCAGCCAAGCTTGGTTAAGCTTCCAGCACTTGACTTAACCGAAGCTTTGCTTGTGTGTGCTACAGTATGCAAAGTTAAATCTCAGCGAACAAGGCATCATGGATCTCATATGTGCTCCACCACATCACCAGAGAAGGTCAGTGTCACATTTGTAAGACACCGCAACGAAGACTGAAAACAAGCCGGTCAGTGACCGATGTGATCCGAATTAATTCCATCTTAATCGAATATACAAACGATGGGCTGATGGTTTTGATGTTGTCGGGTGTAGTGTGTGTCTTCTCTTCACTTGTCTTTGATGATGAATATCATGGTAAAGTTGGATGTAACATAATACTCGTAAGGCTGTCAACCTCTTTGTATATCGGCATCGTAAAAGAACTCGGTTATTTTTCAATTGGTACACTCGGTGAGGAACGTTATTAACAGAAAGTCCACTGGTTTCACCTTAATATCATCGCAGCTAGCGCATGCTTTACCATTGCCTAATTTTGAAACGGCCTAATCAGGCAAGTACACGTAAATAATTTGAAGTTTATCAGATAGAGCGGAATTAAAGCACAACTCGTCCGTAAAACGGGTCAGAAAAACATCATACAAGCGAGAACAACCTATGATGGAGTATCTGGTAGAATCTAGTCCAGGCATCTCTTACTATTTCACGTAATACATCTAGTAACAAAGTTAGGTTTGCTGATAGTATAAAGTGACTGGAATTTCAATCAATGATCCATTCTTCAGAAGAGCGTCTATGTTTTAAGACCTGAAAAACATAGCGCAACCGATTTCCCTTGCTTGAAGTCATTGTCAGCGCGCAACACATTAGTGCCTCGCACTCTAGTCGAGCACCTGCAAAGTGTAAAATGCTACTGCAAGACTGGGTGGGATCGAACCCTAGCCTCATGCTTGCGGATGAACCGATTGAGGTAGCAGACAAATGTGTTTACCTGGGCAGCTGTATCAGTCCCGGTAGTCTCGCGAAAGATGATATTTTCATCCGGATTGAGAAGGCCAGGGCAGTTTTTGTGAATCTGCGTTACCTGTGGCGTAGGCGTGACATCAGCTTGTCCGTCAAGGGTCGAGTTTACAATACTGTGGTGCGCTCCATATTATTATACGAAACGGAAACCTGGTCGCTGAGAACGCGCGCCGAGGACGTCAAAAGAATCTCGATGTTTGACCATCGATGTTTTCGGAGCATTGCCCGAATCTGGCGGGAACACCGGATCAGCAGTGCTGGAGTTCGCTGAATGGTATTTGTAGAAATAACTCACCCTCGATAGATGAACTGATCGGACTCCATAGGTGGCGCTGGCTTGGCCACGTGCTGCGTATGCCAGTCGACCGACTTCCTCGAAGGTCTCTTTTCGCACAACCACATGAAGGTTGGAAGAGAGCCAGAGGCGGTCAAATGATGACTTGGCAGCGAAGCCACTACCAGCAAGCTCAGCTGCGCCTCTCGTTGCCGTCTTCCTGGATGGGGACCCCGAGACGGGCCATATCAGTGGTTAGAGACATTGTCAGACATGGCCAAGTCGCGCACTCAATGGTGCTTATGCACCCAAACTATTGCCTTCAATGCATAGCTCCCTTCCCAATATGCTTACTTAACAGTCCACCTACAGTGCTGTATTCATGCACTAATTTATCAGCTCCCGCCTGCAATGCGCGGCTACCTGTTCCACCTCCGCGAGTCATCCGTGAACGAAACTGTGGCAGCTTCAACCACTGTACGACAAGCACGCGGTTCTTACAGCCGACAGTGATGATGGTGCTGATGAATACATGTGACCAGCTGCCTTGTTTCACACTCATGCGTCGTAACATAGATTTCCCCGGACTGCTATTTTCCATCAATATTCTGGAGATAGGGTTCATCTAACCTGGAGTTAGCTCATATTCCATGAACCCTGTTGCCGGACAATTGATTATAAATCAATGGATGTTTGTGTACCGGCCAGATTGTATAGTTTTCTGACCCCTGAAACTTCACTTTTCTTCGAGTACCCATGACGCCAAAACGTTGGAATTATCGTTATCTTCTCCACACATGTTTGTTGTGTGTAAAGTGCACATGATAATAATGGCATTACCATAGCGTGTAAGGAAATTGGAGCGAAGCAATTGGAGTCAACCGATTCTCAGCTCGGCTAAAGTTCGTACAAGTAGAAAGCCAACTGCTCCTCCATCTGTTTGTTTGTAGATGATTCAGTTAACTGGAAAAAAGTATGTTCAATATACAGCGCAAAACGGTTCTTCAAAGTTGCCTATGTGAACGGGCTAGTTTGTGAAATCGTCACGTCACGTCATCGTCATCGACAGCATAGCATCAGTGTTCAACGCCGATG